ACAGAGGTTGAGGGATGAGGTAGGTGCATATGTTAATCATGTATATTATGCATTATCTAACAGACTTACAGATATAGTTCACTAGGTTGATAGCACTTGTCTATACTCTCATTTGTAGTTTTTTTTTTCCCTGAAAGATGAGACTTGGTAATTCTTAAATATTTAAAAATTCTTAAAAATGACCCAAGTCCAGGTATTTTCATATTTTTATGTATTCTATGCATTTACAAATTTTTATATAATTGAAGTTAGTTTGCTACTGTTTTATGTTCAGTTATTTTCACTAAACATTTTATCACATTTTGTCATTAGCCTACCAGGTCTTTGTAATGATAGCATTTAATGGCTTTTCTGTGTCCCATTTTGTCATAGTACAGTTTCAGTTAAATGCTTTTCTTTGCATCGGGCATCTGGTTTGTTGCCTTTTCTCTATCTACCATGAAAGATTGTGCTGCAGTGAATCACTCTGGGTATAAATATATTTTTACTTCTGTTAAACTGTTTCCTGAAATAAATTCTTGAGGGTAGGATAATGGATCAAAGGGTCTGAATATCTTCATGGTACTTCTCATATGTGTTTACAGTGTTACTTACTGTGTGGGTTCATATATTCGCTGTACTCTGTGCACATGTCAGTCTTTACCTATTTTAAAGCCAGAAGTAGGAATCTGGAAAACAGTCTCATTTTGTTCTGCCTGTGTAGTTCTAATGCACTGTGTAATTTCAGTTACACAGTAACATAGTAAAACTTCTGTAGACATTTGCTCAGCTTTTTTTTTTTTTTTTTTTGCGGTACGCGGGCCTCTCACTGTTGTGGCCTCTCCCGTTGCGGAGCACAGGCTGCAGACGCACAGGCTCAGCGGCTATGGCTCACGGGCCCAGCCACTCCGTGGCATGTGGGATCTTCCCGGACCGGGGCACGACCCCGTGTCCCCTGCATTGGCAGGCGGACTGTCAACCACTGCGCCACCAGGGAAGCCCTGCTCAGCTTTTAAAAGAATATTTTTATACATATTAAGGCATCAGCTATAGTTAATTAAATCTGCTTTTTATTTTTCTCCTATGAGGTTTTGTTTTGAGCATAGCTAGTGAAGGGGGGTTGACCTGTGTGATTATTGGGGTAGAGAAACCTTGTCAGAGGGGTTACTTCCTTGGGTTTATCTGTTAATTGTTGCCCCACAGAGTATAAGAAAGAAGGGAGCATTGACACCAGAATCTTTGTCCCTTGCTCTCACTATGTTCCACAGGGACAGTATATGTTTCACCTGTGACTTTCAGATGACCTCTCTGCACATTTGTTTCCAGGGATTTGGGGGAAAGTGGAAAGAATCTGGGCTTTGGGGTCCTACACAATAAGTTTGAAATCTCAGTTTGCCTCCTATTAGCCATGTGACCAAGGAGCAAGTTAGTTATCTTCAAATCTTGATCTCTCCATCTGTAAAGTGGAGATAATAATACTTATCTCTTAGACTTGTATAGTTTAAGAAGTAATATTTATAAAACATGCAGTATTTAGTTTATAAGTACTAATGGGGTGCCAGCACTCACATGCACTCTATATATACATACTCTAATCGAACTTCACCAGTTTGGCATGAACCTCATGTAGAGTTTTAGTCTAAACACATTCTTTTAAGCCTTTTTTTTTTTTTCTCTGCCACACCTCACGGCATGTGGGAACTTAGTTCCTTGACCAGGGATCGAACCCATGCCCCCTGTATTGGAAGCACGGAGTCTTAACCACTGGACTGCCAGGGAAGTCCCTTAAGCCCTTAATTTTAAGGTCATGATTTTTAGCCCTTGGTGAATCTATTGTGTTTCTCCCTCACTTTTTGATTTTGGGGAGTAATTGCGATAAAATTAATATCTAGTATTCATTGTATTCTCTGTCCCATACACTCTGGCTAAGCACTTTATATGTATTTTACATTATCTCATTTAAACCTAAGAGCGGCCTAATGGTGATGCTGTCATCTCCATTTCGTGGGTGAAAAAAATTTAGGCTCTGAGAGATTAGGTTAATTACTTAAAGTTACACAGCTAGTAACTTGCCTGAGGAGCTAAGGGTAGCAAACCAGTTGTTTGCTGCCAAAGTCCATGCTCTTTACTGCCACACTGTGTCAACATTGTCAAATTTTTGAGTTCATAGAATAATCTGAACAGATTGTTAAAAATGACAGAAACACAGGAACTGGTAACCATGGTTGGCTCCAGTGCAGACATCTGGGTGGTTCAGGGGAGAAAGGAAAACGGATTTTTCAAATAATACCCTATTGTACCTTATAAATTTAGTACTATTTGCATATATTACCCTTCTTTTTTAAATTAATTCATTTATTTATTTTATTTTTGGATGCGTTGAGTCTTCATTGCTGTACATGGGCTTTTCCAGTTGCAGCGAGCGGGGGCTACTCTTCGTTGCAGTGCATGGTCTCATCACGGTGGCTTCTCTTGTTGTGGAGCACGAGCTCTAGGCACGCGGGCTTCAGTAGTTGTGGCTCGCAGGCTCTAGAGCGCAGGCTCAGTAGTTGTGGCTCCCGGGCTTAGTTGCTCCGCGGCACGTGGGATCTTCCCGGACCAAGGCACGAACCTGTGTCCCCTACATTGGCATTCTTAACCACTGCACCACCAGGGAAGCCCTATTACCCATTTTAAGAAGGGATTTTAAAATATTTTTAATGCACAATATCCAGCCCTTGCTTCAGAGAGTCTTACTCAGTTTATTTCAAGGCCAAGCATCCTCATTTTTAACAACCATCTCAGGGAATTCTGATACAGATAGCACAGGGGACTGTGCTTCAAGAAATCCCAACGTAGCGGGCATAGGTGCAATAATTATGTCAAAGGAAGACCTCTTCTGGCCTTAGGGAAACACGGTGATGTCCATAGCCATCTTTACAATACTCCCAACTGTCCCTTTTCACATCTCTTGGGTGAAGTGACCTTGATGCTACAGTTGTTTTGAGATTAGGGGCTGTCTTGCCTCTTCTGTTCAAACTTCCTTTTGGTCTTTGGTAATCAAATATACCTGAACTGTACATTTCCCATCTGACCTTTTAATATAGGTTTAATTCAGTTTTAATAATGTCTCTGACATGGACCTGTGTTATAAGAGGTCTGTCCTTAGTAGGCTTGGCTGACTTTGGTATGAGAGTGTTTATACAAATATGTTTTAGTTATTTTCTAGTGGACTCTGACGGCAAGGTGGTGACTAACCAGGAAGGCGTGTTCCGCAGCAATTGCATGGATTGTCTGGACAGAACTAATGTGATCCAGAGTCTGTTAGCTCGTCGTTCGCTTCAGGCCCAGCTTCAGGTACAAATGCTTTTTTTCTTTTATCAGATAAACAATATAGCAAAAAAGAAACTTCAACTTTAAAAACCAATAACAAGAAACATTCACATGCCCCCGCCCTAACCCAATTCTTTTTGGTTTTGTGTCTTGCCATCCGTGGATGTATACTTTGTCCATAACCATGGTCAGTGTATGTACAGTTTTAAATTTTGCCTTTTTGCTCTAGCATTATATGTGATCATAGTTTTTTTTTTTTTTTGCGGTATGCGGGCCTCTCACTCTTGTGGCCTCTCCCACCGTGGATCATAGGCTCTGGACGCACAGGCCCAGCGGCCACGGCTTACGGGCCCAGCCGCTCCGCGGCACGTGGGATCCTCCCGGACCGGGCCACGAACCCGTGTCCCCTGCATCGGCAGGCAGACCCTCAACCACTGCTCCGCCAGGGAAGCCCATGATCATAGTTTTTAAGAGGTGCATTGTTGTGCTATAATTTACTAAGCCATTTAGGTTGCTACATTTTTGGCTTATAAATAAGACTATAGAGAATATACCTATGTATATTATTATTAGCTTGAATTATTTCCTTTGGGTTAACTCCTGGGTTGAAGAGAATATATACTTTCCAAGAGGGTTATACCAGTTACCCCTAAGACTAGCCAGCAGTGAAAAGTGAATCTTGGCCAGCATTAAATATTTTTATTTAGAAAGGTTTTATTTCTTCTTTAGTAGTACAGAATAGTACCTCAAAAGTTGTTTTCGTTTGCACCTTTTTTATTGTTTGGCAAGGGATATTAACTCCCAGGTATAAAGTTTCTGACACAGCTTTACTTTACCAGTAAGACTGTTGTTGAGAAAGAATAGGTATAAATATTTTGTTCTCTTTATATTTGGAATTAAAAATATGTATATCCCAGATTTCCAGATCACATTGGCATTTGTTGTAGGGAGCAAACAAAATGCTTCCCAGGTGGTTTCCTGCCTAAATAATTTGTAAACGTTCAACTTTGTTTATGACAATTTATGGGACTCAGGGAAGAATTATGGAGGGAAAATACCTCCCCAAATCCTCAAGTAGGACATACCAAAGGAGTGGTTGCCCTCTTTGAGCATTCTCTAGCTTGTATGGTACTGTGTCCTTGTCAGTCTGTTGGATTTATTGTACTTCAGAATATATTTTTCAATAGAAACAATATTAGGAATGGTTATTTTCAAGGCTGATTAACAGAACTCTATTTAACTAGGTTCTGTAATCTGTATTTAACTAATTTACATGCTAAAAATAGTATTATAAAACCTAACCAACCTTCACAGAGTCTTTGGGCAGGAACCTCTCTAGCCTCAGTGCCAGCCAATGTGGGGACTCCAGTTGTGCCTTTCCCCTTCCAGCGAGGGCAGGTCACTGAGCGAGGGCAGGCCCCATTCTGAGGGAGAGAGAGCGAGATGTCATTTGAGCTGAGCAGTGAAGATGGTGGTTCTAAGAGGGTTGCGGGTTCTAGACAAAGACCAAGGCAGGAGTTCCTAATCTGTGGTCAGTGAACTCCAGTGGGGAGTCCATAGAGAGCTTCAGGATGCCCAGGAGTCCTCTGAGATTATATGCAAAGGGCTGTTTGTGGGGAGGTAGGGTAGGTAGTATTCATCCCAATTCTCAAAGGGTCCCAGGGTTAGGGGATAAGTTTGGAGGTCAGAAGTCTGGAGATGGTGAATTGTGAGGAGGTAGAGGGGTAAAGTCAGTGGAAGGTTGGGGGCGGCAGGAAAGGAGGTAGTAATGGCTGGAATTCTGCAGCAGCCTTCCCTCTCCCCCGTCCTTTCCCTTCTGCCCCTGTCTCTGAGTTTACAGTCTTGCCACTGTTCCTGCGGTGCTGGGGCTCAAGGGAGAGTGGGGGCTGTGGGCAGAAGGAAGCCCAAAGAGAGGCTTTTGCAGCCTGGCCTGAGCGGGAGAGTGCTGTGGTCCCCACGTACAGGGAAAGCATCTCCCACCTACAGCCAGTTGACAAGATGATCTGGGGACGGTGCTTTTTCTTCCTAAGTCATATGTGCTGAAATCTGTCACACATAAACGTAGGTATGATTCTTATTCCAGAGACTAGGAGTTTTGCATGTGGGACAAAAGCTTGAAGAACAAGATGAATTTGAGAAGATTTACAAAAACGGTAGGTAATTTCTTTAACAGAGGCAAGGTTACTCAAAGTTTGAAATAAATATTTTGGATTTAGAGCATTGGTTGTTATTTTAATCATTATCAGCTGATTTTTACTTTTTCTCACAGCCTGGGCTGACAATGCAAATGCTTGTGCCAAACAGTATGCGGGAACTGGTGCCTTGAAGACTGACTTTACCAGGCAAGCCATGCTTTAAAATCACATTCCAGACCAGTGGTTCACAGTTCTGGTGCATAGTAGATCACTCGGTCAACTTTTAGACAATAGCAACAGCAAACCACCAGTGCCTGGGCCTCATTTCAGACCGGTCAAGTCAGGACTGCAGGGAGATGGGGCCCAGGCACTGGTGTCTTCTTAGCATCCCTGGGTGATTCTGATGCACAGTGGGGGTTGAGAACCATGGCTCCTTAGCTTTTCTCAAAGCTTACTGTGCACCTGACTCACCCCAGTCCCACTCAGCAGGTCTGGGGCAGGGCCTGAGATTCTGTACCCAGGTGGTGCTGGTGCTGTTTTCAAGGACCACACTGGGTAGTGAGAGGTTAGGATGTTTTGAATTTGTTACACATGTGGTTGGGTCTTTTTCTGCTATATGGGTTCCCTGGGAGCAAGATAAGCTTTCTAGTCTCTTTGCTGTTTCATGCCACTTAACCTGGGCTGTGTGTTTCTCTTCTTATTTCTTGTCTTTGCAAGTGGAACTGAGCGTTTTTCCTCTTTGTGCCTACTTTGGTAATATTTTTGAAATAGGATACACATTTCTTGGACCTGATATTGGTTTCTTTTGTGAGGTGTCTCCTTCATATATTCAGGGATGTTTTTTAAAAAAAATCTTTATAATTCACCTATCTCCATACCACATACTTACTGGCTGTAAAACAGTGTGAGAATTTTATATTTTTGCATATTAATGCATAATTACATTAATGCATAATTGCATATTAATGCAAATCTGTAACTCAAAACTTAACCTCATATTTAACCAGAACTGGGAAGAGAACTCAGTTGGGACTTATAATGGATGGCTGGAACTCACTGATACGGTATTACAAGAACAACTTTTCTGATGGATTTAGACAAGTAAGTTTGTCATTTGATGCTAATTTTTGGTCATTAGGTGGCTGTATCTTTGTACTGTTCTTCAGTAATATAATCATATCTAATTTGGGAGTTACTAATTTCCTTTTTTTCTCTTCTAGGATTCCATAGACTTATTTCTTGGGAACTATTCAGTGGATGAATTAGAATCTCATAGTCCTTTAAGTGTTCCAAGGGATTTGAAATTCCTGGCTGTAAGAAACGTTTGTGTTTTTCAAGTTGTTAAAACATTGTGTCTGAAGGTATAGATGGTGCCAACTCCCCTTGATATAAAACATTGTATGTTGTTCTAAATGGAACATAAATATTTAAGTGTCCCCAAGGAGCAGATCAGGGAGAGGAGTAAAATAACTTTGGAATGTTTGTCTTCTTTCAAACTTGACTGTCTTTGGCAGATCCTTTTTAAGTGAGAACACAGACGCAAGGGGAGTGTGAGGGTTTCTCATTTCCGGAGGCTACTCCCCTGTGGTTCAGGGATTGCCAGAGGCAAACTTATGACCTGGAAGTTGACTCCTCTGTTCACAAGACTTTTCAAGAGCCTCTGGGGTCTCATTCCAGTGGGCAGGGTGTCCTGGAGTGGAGGGGCCTGGTGTCTGGGTTCTCCTCTGGGCGACCTCCCTCTGCTTAGCACTCCCTGGTTTGGAGCAAAGCCATGTTTTTTCAGATCTTTTAACCTGTTCGAAGATTTGGGCAGTTATGATCAAAACTCTAAATAATGATGTTTTGCTGAAAGAAAGATACTTTGTATATTAGATTGCAGAAGGGTTTTCTTCTCTTTAAAGCAAAGCCTGCATAACTGATTGTACAACCATTGATTAGCATCTTATGTGATGGTTTTTCCTTCCGTTTTCTTTTCCAGTTGCCTATTATCATGGTTGTCGCCTTTTCCATGTGCATTATCTGTTTGCTTATGGCTGGTAAGTCTGCCCTTGTTTCACATTCTTACAGTCATTTCTTAGAATGTTGAACTTTCCTGTACAGCGTCTTAAGTTTGCGCCTATTCAGTACTTGATGTTTCCCTATTGAATTGAATGAGTAAAGTGGGCAGGTGGGAGGATTAGTCCTTAGATGTGACAGAAGGAAAAATGTATACTCAGTAGCTTGATACATTTTTTTTTCCACTTAAGCTTTTTAAAATATTTTTTTCTTGCTATCAAAGTAATACATAGTAATTACAGAAAATACAGTTGGGCAAAAAAGAAGATAATGTTATTTATCACCTTGCCTTTCAGAGATAAGCTAATTACTCTTAACATTTTGATGTTTTAATCTTTATAAGTGTGTTTTTTTCAAAAGTGAGATACAAATATTTTTGTAATCTGTTTTTTCAGTGAGCAATATAAATATTTCCCCACGTTCTTTATTTTTAATGGCTGCACAGTATTCCATTAATGGATGTATAATTTATTTAACCAACCACCTATGTTGGACAAATAAATGTTATTATAGATTAATACATTACTTCTTAAATTTTAATAGCGAAATTGCCTAAGAACCTGAGCTAACAAGGTCTTTATTGGTTTTCTTTTCTCTCTCAGTGTTTTCCTGTGTTACTAAGTTAATGGAGACATTTTCATCTTAAATGCATATTAAGTAGTGTTCAGTGCTCTGGGAGTTTGAGTCTGTAACACGTTGCATTGTGCCTCGAGGTGCAGCCTTGGGTACCTCCAGTCACATCCTCTATCCTGAATTCGCTGGGCTGACATTTCTCTGCCTGGCTGACTTCTGCCATCCTCAGGCTCCCCTCTCATGAAGTGTCTCTCTGTTCTCCCACACAGACCTCATCTCCCCCTTTCTGATTTCCACAGCATTTTGTGTACCTCTCTTCTAGCACTTTCAAATTCTTTTAATCTTGTAAGCACCTAGGGATTTCTTCTTCAGAGGCGCTGTACTCTTTGGGGTCCCGAATGCACCCAAGGTGTATTTCTGTTTGTGTGGTAGTGATTTGCATACTTATTCGTCTTTCTCACTGAATCAGCAACTTTTTGAAGGCAGAGATGGTGTCTTACTCATTGTTTTACCTCCTGTGTCTGGGATACAGTTTTGCCCTCAGTAAAACTTGGCTGAATTAAGGACTCCTCACCCCCCACACCCCACCCTAATTCTGCCAGCTTCTTGAAGGGCGGCTCAGAACCTGTTCATCTCTGTAATCCCCTCAGTGTTCAGCATTGTAGGTAGTCATGACACAGGGAGGAGCTGTCTTCTTGTTACTCTAGGGCAGGGGTTAGCAGACATTTTCTGAAGAGTCAGATCATAAATATTTTAGATTTTGTAAACTACATACAGTCTCTGTTTGCACAGTTTGTTTTTACAGTTCTTTAAAAATGTAAAAACCATCACAGTGCAAAAACAAGCCAAGGACTCTCGAGTGCAGCATCACTGTGTGGCATGACTAGGGGGTCTGTGTCACATTTGGGGCAGGAAGGAAGAGGACAGGACCAGCTGGCATGTGCTGCTCACGGTTCAGTTCACACCCTAGATCCTTTGACTTCTTTCTTTAAAACATTGCCCATTGGATGCCATTTTCTGGGAACCACTCCACTGCTGAATTAGTTTTGTTATTTTGGTCTTTTTATATACTCACATTTCCCTGTGGAACCTCTGGAAAGGCAGGGAAGTCAAGACCAAGACTCAGCCTGAACAAACGGACCATTCCTTTGGGGAGTGTCCCAAAGTGGGCTTGTGAGGAACTGCTTTTTTCTTTATCCAAAAAGAGTTTTAAAACCCAGAGCTGTCAAAATTAGCAATTGTGGAAATTTGAGTGTTTTCAAGTGAAAAGATACTGGACGCTGTGGATAGTAACATCTCATGTCAGTTAATTGTTGTAAAGTAATGATCTTTGTGGTGTTTAGATATGACAGTGTCTGGTTTCTAGCCCCTACTTTGGTATTTAAGAGGAGAGCAAATAAATGCAAGCATGTTCTCTGACAGCTTATTAGGAAAGTGTCTACACCCTGAGTTTCCTTTCAGGCGTGCCCTCTTAACTGGCTGTTGACCTCTGCATGTTCCCCTGTCAGCAGGTGAGGCCAGTACTATTGCAGGAGAGAAGCAACACTGGGTTCACCTGTTCAAGGAGGAGAACAAAACAGACCCTTTCCCACTGGCCTGCTGCTTCCTTCACGTCCTCTAGACTTTGAAAAATAGTACATATCAGGAGAGTTGTGTTAAATATGTTGTATTTATTGAGTTTTGTTTTATACACTTTATTTTTTATTTTTATTTTTTTGCGGCACGCGGGCCTCTCACTGCTGTGGCCTCTCCCGTTGCGGAGCACAGGCTCCGGACGCGCAGGCTCAGTGGCCATGGCTCACGGGCCCAGCCGCTCCGCGGCACGTGGGATCTTCCCGGACCGGGGCACGAACCCGTGTCCCCTGCATCGGCAGGCGGACTCTCAACCACTGCGCCACCAGGGAAGCCCCTATACACTTTAATACATAACTTTTCTGAAGCATGTATATTTGTAAAGTTATTTTCCATAACAGAAAAACCTGAATGAACTTTTTGGCCAAGCCAGTATTTTTTTTGTGTAGGCATTTTGGTAGTAGCTGATACGTGTCACAGATAGGACTATGAGCTAAACTATTAGTAATAATTTCTTATAATATTAAAGTATATCATCTGAAACTAGTAATTACTATTTGCTTGATATAACCTGAAATTAGTTTAGTCAAGTGGTTCTCAAAATGTGGTCTCTCGACCCGTAGCATCAGCATAATCTGGGAACTTGTTAGAAATGCAGATTCTTGGACGCCACCCCAGGCCTGCTAAATGGGACAGACACTCTGTGGTTCAGCCCAGCAGCTGATTCTTTATCAAGCCCTGAAGCGGATTCTGTTGCCAGCCAGAGTTTGAGAACCACTGGTTTAAACCTTAATTGAGAGGTTCTTTTATTTTTCCTTTGGATGTGTTTGTACACTTTAATGTTGTCAAGATGTGCTAAACGGCTGAAAGCTGGATCTAGTATCAATAAAATGACTTGTTATTTATCAGCTCTTTGTTTTTTAAAATCAACAGGTGACACCTGGACAGAAACACTGGCATATGTGCTCTTCTGGGGAGTTGCAAGCATTGGAACATTTTTTATTATTCTTTACAATGGCAAAGATTTTGTCGATGCTCCCAGATTGGTCCAGAAAGAAAAGATAGACTGAATTTGTGTCTGTGGAAAGCGGCTTGGCTTGGAAGATTCCATTATGCAGAACTGGAGTCTTTACTGACCCGCTTTCCACGTCAGCCCAAGGTCTTTTTAAATCCTTTATCCAAAAGCACATCTTGCGCTTTGTGTGGGGGTGATGACTTAGAATTGATCTGATGTTACTGCCTTGATGATCTCTTTACTATTGGGATGGTTATAATTTGAAGCTATTCTGTAATTAAAATGTAACCTCAATTCAGCTCACGGAATGGAAGGAATCATTGTCAATTTAATCAGCTGTGGCAGAATAGGTAAAATATATTTTAAAAAAATCTCGCTTCTTTCCTTATTTAAAACAGTGAAACTATTTTTCTAGCTCAGTTTCTTGTCACTGTAGAAGCAGTTGCTGTTAGCAGGCACTTTTCCATATGCGTCTTTGGACTTTTCTTGAGTTTAATAATAAGCTAACTCTACTCTGTTTATCAGATGTCTTTCACATACATCAAGTAGTTGGACGAAATAGTCTGTGACTACATGGTAGGAAAGAGGAGACCAGGGTCTGGTGGTCCTTTGGAGCTTCAGTTGGGCTGCCTTATGAGTTCAGTCAGCTTGATTTGTGCAGTTTTAAGTGTGAGGGAAAAGGTTCAGGTGTATTTTATCTTTTTTAAAAGGTGTAAATGAAATCAAAGAATGTGAAGTCTCTCTCTTATGCTAGAGGTCCAAAGCCGCCTCTGTTTTCAGGATTGCCCCAGTGTGGAGAATGCCCTTGGTTGGTCAGCTCCTTCCTTCTGGACCTTTCGGTTTCTTGGGGGTCTTTCATGGAGACATGCAGGCCTCTGAGCGGGTCTTGTGCTGAATCCAGTGTTGCACTTGGAGGCAGCAGCTGCTTTTCCACGCACGGTAGTGTCAATGCTTCTCCCTCTTTAAGGGTTTTTGTTAGCTGTCAGTAAGTCTAAAATTTAGTGCTTCCAGGTAGTTAACAGCTCTCCAAATCAAGGACCAACTTTAATTTATGTGAAGAAATAAATCTGAAAAAATACACTCTAGAAGCTGTGCATAGTTCTAATTATAAGTCAGACTGTATATTCAAATTGTAATTATGAGGTTTAAAAATTAGAAAAGTATGTAAGGAAGTATAATTGCCACTATTTTAAAATAGTTCAATTAAATACTGCTACAATATTTGTGTTGTGCTTGAAAATATGTACAGTTTTTTCAATGGTAATACCTTTTCCTGTCCTTAAATATCTCTAAAGAGCGCCTTGATTTTAACGTTACCTTTTTTCCAACATTATCTTTTATAAACATTAATAAGAGTTGTTGCTTTTAGAAACTCTAAAGGAAATAATAGCTGGAAAACCCTCTGTAGCTTAAAGTCAGTCATTAAAACTCACAATAGGGTAAGTAATTAGAACTACCTACTCTTAACTTGTAAATAAGCATAATTCGTTCCAAAGAGGAAATATCGAAACTTAGTTCATGTCTACTGTAATGTATTACTCAGATGCTACTGGGCATTTCACATTAAGAACTTATTTCAACCACCACAACAAAGACCAAATCTGAACTGCTGATGTGGCTGTTTTGCAGTGAATGGGCTAATGTTGGTGTGTTAGATCTTAAGGTATCAATATTTCAGAACCCTGCAATGATTATATTTCTAAATTCATGTACTGTCCATCCGTAAGTGAAAATAAAATGTCATATTCTTTTCTAACTAATGTTGGTGTCATTCCTATACCTTGTCTTACAAAGGGATGTTCTTTTTTATAAAAAACATGCAAAGCAATGTGTGGTCATTATAGAAGAATTAGACAATGTAAGTAAGCAAGAAAATGAGTAGCTTCTGAAATTCTACTTTCCAGTTATGGCCACTTGAAAAATTGTGTTTATCCTTAAAAATTATTTTTCAGTTACAGATATTCCAGGGGAATATTTAGTACAGTGTTCATTAAAAGATGTCCCCTGTATTCCCACCTCCAAATTGTAATTTCTTTTTCAAAATGATAGAGGCTCTCCACCAAGCAGTGGGACAATATGCTTATTAGAAAACGTCCTCTCAGGCCACAGGAAGGTGTCAGGGAGCCCGAGGGAAGTGCTGATGTAGACACCTCGGTGCCTAGGAGACCCTTGCACGTGTGTGTGTGGTGTGTGAAGGGTGTTTTGGGGGAGAAGTGGCTTAAACAAGGGTTTGGGGTTTTTTTCCTCCAGCTTGCCTAAGAGTCCTGATGTCAGATGTTTTCCTACTACAGATAAATTACAATAAGTCTTTAAAATATTATGTTCTTTGGCACATGGACCTCTCCACCTTGGCAGCTTGGTTCACCAAAGCCAGCAAGATGGAAGTCACGGTCTTTTTTAACCTAATCTCAGAAGTGTCATCCCGTCACTTGTGCCGTATTCTATGCCTTAGAAACAAGCCACTAGATCAGCTCACTCGGGGAGGGGATTACACAGGGCATGAATACTGGGAGGTGGGGCTCGCTGGAAGTCTGTTCCCACAGCCTGTAAGGAGAGAAAAATCCAAAATCATGATTCAGAGCTGGTGCTGGAGGGAATCGGGTGTTCCTGTGTTGTGCCTTTGAGGTCTTTTGCCTGTTTCTGGTAGATTGCTTGTCCTTAAAGATTTCTGGAATTTTTTATATTGTGGAGAGTCATTCTTTGTTGCTTATATGTACTACATATATCTTCTTCTAGTTTGTGGCTTGTCTTTTCATTTTCTTGTGGTTACTTTTGGTGAAAGAAATGTGTAATTTCAATGGTGTTGAATTTACCAGAAATTTCCTACCATCCCTTGTGCTTGGGTAACACAACATTGCTCAACTCCAAGGGACTTCTTTTCACATAATTTTGCTTTTTCATATCAGGTCTTTTCTCCATTCTATAAAGTAAGGAGTGGTCTGTGTCAATCCAGGTAGATCAGATTATGCTGCGGTAACAAATGATCCCCAGATCTCAGTGGCTTTAAAAAAATGAGGATTTATTTCTCACTCATTCTGTGTATCCTTGAAGGGTCTGCTGCAGCTCTGCTACATGACATCTGCATCCTGGGACCCAGAGTGACGGAACAGCTTCACACAGGAACATTACCAGTTGTCCTGGCAGAAAGAAAAGGGAGACGTTTCTGCTTGAAGGTGACAGTCTCTTCTGTTCACATTTCATTGGTCACGGCAGGTCGCATGGCCGTACTTGAAGCGATGGCGGGAGGAGAGTGTAGCCCCTGGGGAGGGCTGTGCGCTGTCATCCGACACAGGCTCCAGTTTTCTTTTCCCGCTGGGTTAACGGGAAGAGCCAGCAGGAGCCTTCCCGACTCCCTCGTCCTGCTGTGCAGTGCCGCCACTGTCACACATCAGGCTCCCCTCCACTTGCGGGGTTTCGGCTTCCTGTTCTGTCCCGTTGGCCTGGGTGTTTTCGCTGCTGAGAACTCTTCCTCACGCAGCCGTGTCTTGCAGGATGGCCTGGCTCTTCCCTGAGCTCTGGGCCCCCAGCTTCTCAGTCTGTTCGGCAAAGCATTTTCCTGAGTGTTTGGAATAACACGAGTCCTGTGTGCTCAGAGCTGTTTTTTGACAGTAGGGATCTGGTGAGAACCATTTGGAAACATTGGGTTAAACACAGTCAAAGACTTGTCTCAATTCTCGGACTTGTCAGAGGTTTGACTCCCCTAGAGGGTGTGTGCAACGCAGCAGCACCCAGACTTTTTGGTCTGTGGAATTTTTTATTCACAGAGCATCTCAATAGGACCATTCTGTGAAACTGATTTTGAATAAGGCTCGCATGAGGGTGAGCACTCTGGCCTTGGAGTTAAAGAAAACATGGGCTCTAATTTATATTTGGATCTCACTTGTGTGTTGAACTTGGTCTCTGAACTATAAATTCTTGGATTCTCATCCATATGGCAGTTCCCTGCGATAACACATGCACACGGACACACCCCCCTGCTGAGAAACCCAGGTAAATCTACAGGCGGGAGCTCTTCCTTGATGTCCAGCTCTCATCCTCTGTGTTGGACGTCACGCAGAGGCTCCATAAGTGGGATTTCACTGCGGGGGTGGAGGGGGAGAGACAATTAAAAGGAGTTGTGACATGTTTAATTATTACCACGAATGCCCTGGTCCTGCGTGAACTGGTCAGATGGCCTGTTTGTTCTTAGCACTTCCCTTTACAGATTATTCTGAGCATAACTTTGTCTTTGCTTTTTTGTTTTAGCCAAAGGCCCAGACGTTCGTCTTTCTTCACCGTTTTCAGTGATGCGTGCCTGTTGCCTGTTTATTTTTCTAGCTGTAGGAAGCTAAAGTCTCATCTATTAAAATATCATGTTACATTTTATGTCCTAAATTGAGCTCCTATTAGATTTCGGTTTAAACATAGACTCTGAGGTTAGGAGAAGTAGAAAGTACAGGTTGTAAGTCATGTTTAGGAGAATTTAAGAAGTCCTTCTCCTGGCCTTTTGGGAGCACACATTCTCCTGGGTTCTGTCCAGCTTTACTCACAACTCCATTGCCTACTGACGTCTCCTCTCTGCTTTATCCCTGTTCTAGTTATCTATTTCTGGAGAGTAATCTCACAGTGTTGCAAGTTAGGAATGGAGCCTGGCACAGCTGGGTGATCTCTTCTGTTCCAGATGGCACTGACAGAGGTCACTCAGTGATACTCAGCTGACAGAGGGGCTGGTCTCTGGTCCGCGCTGGTTTGGTGCTGCACAAGGGTGGCTGGAAGGTGGACCAGCTGGTTCTGTGAGCTGGAGCACCTCCATATGGCTTTGCAGCACGGCAGCCTCAAGGTCGTAGGACTTCATACCTGGTTGGCTCACGGCGGCCGGAGTGAGTGTTCCAGCAAACCAGGTGGAAGCTTGCATGTTATGATCTAGCCTCTAATGTCCAGTGGTGTCCCTTCTGCCACATTCTGTTGGTTGGAGCACTCACAAACCCACTCAGATTCGGGGGGAGGGACACAGACCCCCTCTCTCTCAATGAGAAAGATGGAAAAGAACCTGTGGCCCTGTCTGGACACATGTTGGATTTTTTTGCAGGCTTTGGTCCTAAGCCCTCTTCTCCATGTACACACTTAGCCCAGGTGATGTCATTTAGACCCATGGTTTTAAAATAGCATCTTTATGCTGTGACTCCCAAATATATATACCTCTAGATCGGACCTTCCCAAAAGGTTCAGATTCTAATGTTCTGCTGCCTACCTGATATTCCCACCTGATTCACAGGCATCTCAAACTCAGTACGGTCCAGCAGAGCTCTTTTTTTCTCCCCCCAGAGCTCTTGATTTATATACTCTGCAGACTGGTTCCATGCCGAGTTTTCTTCATCTCAGGAAATGCCACCAGCATCCACCCAGTAAGTCAGACATTTCATCCCTCTCCTCTCAACTCTGTATCCAGTCCGTAAGCAAGTCCTGGCAACTCTCGCATATGCCAAAATATAACTCACACCCACCTATTCCTCTCCGCATTCATTTCCAAGTCCATGCCACCATCATCTTTCCCAGGGACTTACTAAAGTAGCTCCTGGAATAATTTTCCAAGGTCCCCATCTTCAACCCTCTCCAGTCTGTTCTCCACAGCTACAAGTGATCTTTCAAGTGTAAGCTGGATGACGCAGGGCCCCACGTTAAACCCTCAGGTGAGATTCTGTTGCTCTTTGGAGGAAACCGAAGCTCTTTGTTGTGGCCTACAAGGCCTTATATGACCTGGTCTCTGCCCACTTCTCCAAGCCCATCTCCCATCACTCCCGTCCCCAGTCCAACCACAGGCCTCCTTTCTGCTCCTTCTCCCCTGAGGGCCTTTGCACTGCCATTGCCTCTGCCTGGACAGACCTTCCAGCAATTCCAATAACTAGTTCATTCTTCTTCAAAATTCAGTCCACGTATCTCCTCCTCGACCACCTGATTGAAGCACTGTCCCTCTCACACCGTCACTTGGCCCATTTATTTCCTTCTCAGAAAAGATCACAGTCTGTAATTATATCATTTGTTATCTGTCATTGTCTTTTTCCCTTCCAGAATCTAAGAGCCATGAAGTCCAGGGACCAGAACTTTCCCCAGAGCCTACACAGGGACTGGATTGTAATATACTCCATAAAGGCTGATCCTGTGCAGGTGGGCAATACGAAAGGACACATGATTCACATGTAAGAGACTGGTCAGAAAATTCTGGTTGAGGATTTCATATTTGTAGACGTACTTTTTGCCTTGCAAAGGATTGTTGAAATCGCTCGTTTTTTTTCTTCCTCTGATTGGATGCTGAGTAGAAAATGGTTGGGTGAATTAATTCTCTTCCCCAGCTTTTCTATCTATAAAGTGGAACAGCCATAAATTAATTTTTCTATGTAAAATAACTTTTACAGAAATCTAACACAATAGTTGACACGCTCTTTCCGCCCCCAGGACAGTTCTGAGGTCACACCCAAACCTGTTGTGTGGGTTCCCATGGCCTCAGCCAACAAGGGATTCTGAGGTGGGCAGACTGCCCAGGGCACCTCTCAGAAGGGTTGGAAAGATTCTGCAGCAGTTCGGGAGAGCTCACATTCTGTTTAAATCCAGCAAATTAGAATACATCTGAAATACCCAGGTGATTTCTCTTTTGGATGCTACCCTTCCTGTTTCATGTGATCTTCTCATGTGATGGCCTTCATACACTGCATTGGTGCGGTTTCACTGCATGTGAGGAAGCAAACATAGAGAAGGCAGTAGAAAAGAGACCAGATGGAT